TCGTTCTTTCACACTTCACCAAGTGTCGGTAGAGTACCGGATCTCCTTGAAAGATCTTCTCACAAGAAATCTAGAAGGGCAAGAGAAAAGAGTGAAGTAATCACAATTCACAAAGTTAAGATCCTTACCTTTGAGTACCAAGTGAATCCTTCACGCTCCAATGGTAAGAACTCTCCTTCAAACACTCTCTCATACTCTCTCCTTCACTCTTCTTTCAGTAAGCATGAAGTACAATGACCAAAAAGATTAAAGTATAGTTTACATTGGACCTTTTATATGAAAGACATGAAAAACCATCCAAAAAATACAATTTTTCAATTATGTACATACTTGATCGTCCCGTACGATCAAAATTTGTAGTACGAACAGTGTAAAAGCTGTTGTGTATGAACCCCAATGTGCTTTAATACAAAATGTCTTCGTACCCGATCATCGTCCCTTATGAACCATGTTCCTCCGATACGAACGGTTATTTCCATAATTCATTTTTACAAAAATTGAATGACTCTTACGTTTCCAGACCAGAAAGAATCGTCCCGGGACGAACATAATTATCATTTGGACGAAGGCATCCAGAGAGCATCATCCTGGGACGTACGTGAATATCGTGCAAACGACTGCGTCCATAGAGCATCATTCTGGGACGAACGTAATTATCATTGGGACGAATGCATCCAGAGAGCATCATCTTAGGATGCGCATAAAATATCATGTAAATGAATGCGTCCAGAGAGCATCAACCTAGGATGATCTTGATAAATCGTTTGGAGGAACAGTGTGAAATATGAGTTCATAGGACATCATCCAGGGACGAATGGGACATTTCATCTGCATGAACAGTTCAAAGTGAGAATCCAGAGGACATCATCCAGGGACGAATGGGACACTTCGTCTGCACAATCAGGACTTAAAAAAAAAAATCACTTTCTGTTCGTTCTATTGCTCTCTAAGGGGTAAAACTGACCTGATCGTCCTATACGAACATGGTTCGTCCTGAACTATCAGTATAAATTTTTTTTGACTTTTTAAAGATCTCCCCCAGTGTGTGTGTGTGTGTGTGTGTTATGTTGCTCAACTACAATCACACTCTCTCAGACTCAATAAAGTGAAAAATACATACTTCAATTTAAAAAATATGATATGCTGGATTTGGTTTGAAGTCTTCATTATTCTGGAGTACGATTATCCTAAAATGTTAGTCCACACAAGAGAAAAAAAAATTCTTCCAAAAAATATTAGGAGAAAATAATAATTAAGAACAATAATATTTGGAATCATCAAAACTATATAAGTTGCAAGAATGTAAGACATATACTTATTAGCTTGGTTGATATTTTTTAGAGTTGTAACCACTTTAAGTTTAAATTAATTAATTAATTATTTATATGCTCGAGTTCATATCGATGATTATCATAATTTTAGCAACCGACACTATTAGAAGTCACTAATTTAGCAACAAAAAGTAATCTTGGCCTCTAAAAATTTCAGTGATAAGACTGTTGTGACGACGAGCCAATGATTTCTTTTTTTTTGTCACTACTCACTTTAGCGACTAAAATTTATTTTTAGCTACTAATTTTAAGGGTCGCTAATTATTTTATTTTCTTTCATCATGATGAGTTGCAATAAACCAACTCCCATATCAATCATCTCTACAAGGTCTCTCTCTCTCTCTCTCTCTCTCTCTCTCTCTCTCTCTCTCTCTCTCTATATATA